TGCAGCATTATTTACAAGAGCCAAGAGGTAGAAGAAGCTTCAGGTAAGTACACTATGAAGGAAACCAAGAGAAAAGAGGATTTCAAAAAAAAAAAAAGTGGTTGCCCTTGTCCGATGTTGCTGCAAGATTAAAACAAAAAATGTTGCCCACTGTACATGGAAGATGGAAGTCTCTGGTGACCTCAGTAGCAGTTTGAGAAGCATGGGGAATAAATCTCTATTGGAGAGAATGTGCGGAGAGAAAAGAGAAATAGCAAATAGAGACAACTGAAGCAAATACAACTATGCAACTGCACTGATTAAAAGCAAAAAAGAGGCTCGCCATTCATTTCCTGTCCTTTAAAATAAAGTTCACTCTCCTTACTTTTGAATACAATGCTCCTCACTATCTGGGCTCTTGCTATCTAAGTAATTGTATTTCTCGACTTTACTCTCCCTTCTATCATGTAAGTACTTGCAATACTCTAACGTGAATCATGGAGAGTCTCTTCCTTCACACATCTGGCCCTCTCCAGGTTACTCTTTTCCCTTTCCTACGTAAAGCAAAACTCTTACAGGTCCTTCATTACCTTTCAAGCATTATAATATCAAGCAAGCAGTACCACCTCCTTGCCACATGATTTACTCTCTCCTGAAGGTTTCCATTGCAACCTGCACCCTTACACTTTTACATCACTACATTGCAGTCTTCGGTTTGACTGCAACACTGCTCTCCCCTCCTCCTCCAACACAAACATACACAAAAGGACAAGGACAAATTGTTAAGCTTGGGATCATATTTAGGAGGTATGTGTCCCTGGTTCTTGTCCTAAGATCTTGTAAAGAGCAGTATCCTCTGAGTGCTTGCTAAACAAGTTTCTAAAATGCTAAATTGATTCTGTCAAATTTTTACTTAAAATTCTTCAATGTCTCCTCAGAGGCTATAGAATAAAACACGAAACGCATTGGTATGGTGTATGAAACCTTGGTGATGTTGCTCGTTCTTACCTCTCCAGCATCATTTCTCCCCACCTCAGCCTGATCTTCACGCCTCCTCCCACCACTGTGATTGGTGATTCATGCATGCACACTCTGCATCACTTCCATGACAACTGTTCTCAGGCCTCTGTACTTTCATGTGTGCTTCTGACTTTTCTTGGAATGTCTTCAAAAACTAGTTCAAGGGTCAATTCTGCTCTGACTCTCCTTTCTCTACTCTTAGCAATGCTAGACACGCTCTCTCTTATTTCTGGAGCCCCTGTCAATAACTTTATCACCATTACATTAATCCCTTGATCATCTGCCTTTCCTATCTGCAAGCTCCCTTGGACAGGAACTTTGCTAAGTTCATCCTTGTATTCCTAGCACCTAGCACAGTGCCTGGCATATAAGAAGCATTACAAAAGTAATGGATGCTTTTCTTTACATCTTTTGATTTAGTGTGCTTGAATTATTTTCATCTTTATTACAAATAATTTATAGGTGGTGACTTTTTAAAATGCAAAAACATAGGAAAAAGAGCAAACTAGCATATTGAAGAATAAAAGGCAGGCTACGAATTTTAAAGATGTGTGTTGCTCTACATCTTCTAGTAAAAAGAAGTCACACTGATAAATAATTGATCACATTATGCCATTTGCTCCACTCATAATGAGGTGAATAAATGCCAGGTTTAGAGCATATGTTCAATTCACATTTGCATTGCAAAGAATTAGCCATTCAGGCAATTATTTTTATTTTTCTTTATTTACTTCCATACTTTTAGACACTTAAAGCTTTTTGAAGGAAGTGCTATGAATATAGGCTTTTTATTTCAAACTATTTTACAAGTCAAAATGGTTTGTAGCTTCTCTCAGACATTTTACAACCTAAGATGTACATCTTTTTCTTGAACTTTGCATGCTTTTTTCTATAAAATTTTCTTCATATTTTACCATGATCATAAGTCTTACCTTTAGATATTTAAGTCTCCTGTACAGTGACAGGAAGCATACCAATTATTTCAACAAGAAACAAACATGAGAACTGCATAAATTTAGGAGACAGCTTTGTGTTATCACAATAATTTGAGATGTCCACTTGATAACAGCACTTTAGAATTCACAAGAGTGTGTGGTGAGCATCAGCATAGTACTTTATGTGCTTTATCACTTAGGTCAGAAGCTGAACTCTTCCATCTATGCTTTAGCATTAAAAGTTGATTCACAGAGTCATAGAATTTCAAGATTGAAAAGGACTCAGAGGTCATTTAGTCCAACTCCTTTATATGAATGAATTCCCTCTACAACATTCCTAACAGATGCCTCTTCATTCTCTCCTAGAACCCCTTCGTGACAGTGAACTTACCACCTTCATCCAACAGTTCGGGTAAAACTAAATGCATATTATGACAGATTTTCCACCTTCTACAAAATAGTTATTTTCAGCATTTTAAAGCATACCAGTTTGATTAGTATGAGTCATATGTCCTTCATCTATTTTGTATATAAGAGAGGCAGGGAAAGGCAATTATGGAACATGGCAAGGCTTTCATTTCTATTTACCTGTCTACTTATATGCTGCCTTTTTCTAGAAAGGATCTTAAATGAAGTGACTTAAAACACTTGGATGCAATAGAGTTATTAAAATAGAAATAGAAATTCAAAATCCTGAAAATAAATTCTTGACTCAAAGGCTAATCTAGTTGTTGGCACTGAAATTAAATTTATCCACAGGCTTTCTAAAGGAGAAATATAGTGGATTACACAATTCTCTTTATCTGATGGAAAAAAAAAGTATACTAATTCTTCATTAAATAAAAATTTTTCTTAGTTCTAAGTTACAAGAGGAATTTCTCATGCAGCATCTTATAAAAGAGACTTTTTTCTTAGTTTTTATGTACATTCATTTTACCCTCTAATAGACTGCCAAGAATAGTACTGAACTCTCTCCCCTGAAACATCTACAAACTTTATAACCTCAATTCAATACTAATTAATCTTTCTTAAAATTCTGTTGAATACAGGGGACAAAATATGGGCACTGGATAACTACTTTTCCAAAAGGGGCTGGTAAAACACCTTAAACTATTAAAATCACTTTTTTTTGGGGGGGAGGTCAACATTATGGGGCAATAGCTTCCATATGCCCATTTGTTCTTACTATATGAGAACCAATGAGAAGCTGAGTTAATCTTTCCTGCTGTGTTACCTTCACTTCTTTTGGAAACAACTACAGTTACACCTAACAAAACGATGCCCTTGTGAACTGAGAGAGGTGTACAGAACATGGTGGATGGCAAGCAGAGATTGCTGTAAGGGGATCTGCTTGAATATCTGATAAGACTTTGGATCTCTCAGAAGGAAAGTGACATGTAAGCAATGTCACTTACTCTTTAAACACCCCAATTATTTTCCCAGGAAGGGCATTATAGAACCCTTAAGCCTGAAAAGTTACAAATGGGCCCACGGTGTCTTCCTATAGTTAAACCCTTGATTTTATAATACTTTTCCCTGTTCTTGGATTGAAAAGTGGGGAAGGTATTGCTACATAATGACCATTTCACCTTCAAAGGCCTTTTTGGTGCCTAGAGTATCACAAAAGGCCCTAGGTAAAAATAAATTACTTTCGTCATAGTGATTATCAAAGTTGTTTAGACTTTACCTGCACTACCTGGTTCCATCATTAAATTCTAAATAACTGAAGACAGAGAGATCTAACCTCCTTCTCCACACATGAAGCCAGCCAGGCCTAACTCTGCTTCCTTCTCTATGGCTAGAAAACACACATCTATAATCTATATTTTATCTGTCCAAATGTGGCAGCTCATTTTTACTTCTTTTTCTTCTTCCTACTCCTCCTCCTATTATTATCATTTTTATTATTATTATCATCCTTATCATTGTCATTATTATTACTGTGGAAGAATCTGGATTATATGTAGAGGTCCCTTGAGACCAATAAGCTAGATTCAATTCTCACAAATTAGTTATTGTAACATGAATACAAGTACAGCAAAAGTAACCTCCATATTGAATGCGGCTATTTGTATGCCGGATAACAAAATGTATTCACGGCTTTACCATGGAGAGAATGAGAGAGATTTCAGGTTTATTCTAAAGAAGACACTGGTATATCTTTGAAAGAATAACCCAAAACAAATGATTTGGCTTTTTACGGAATTAGAATAAACTGAATACACATTTATATAAAGCTAAGAGAGCATAGGGACATAACAGTAAATGCTAATGTGCATGGTGATGGCTGGCAAACGCAAATAAGCATGCTGATCATTACCGCACATCACAGTTTATTATGACATACAACTGCCAGAAATCAATGTCAAAGCTAAGCAAAACCCAGTTACCAACAAGATAATTTTCTCTTCATTTTTAGCTGTTCTATCCTGCAACTCCCCTTTGTGATTAGCAGAAAGCCTGGGAATAAAGGGCAAAAATAATAATAATAAAAGAGGTTTATGAGTTACTGAATAATTTTTAAATGCTATGCAACCTTGAGGGAAAAGCATCAGTTGAGACAAGTACATATTTCCCTATAGTATTTTGAAATGTCCTAAAGCATACATAATGCATTAGTGAATGGTTGTCTCAAAGAAAGCTCTCCGCTTTTGGAAGCTGAATAGCACAAATACCTGGCGTGGAAGAAGTTGGCATAGCAACTCTGGATTTGCAATGGTGAATCACAGAGTAAAGAGGTGCATAAAATAACTACTTGAATGTGTTTGCCTCTTCACAAAGTGGTTAAATTTTGTAAAGCATTTTTTTGAGGCTTCTCTTTTTGAGAAATACAAACTCTTCAGTCAACTTAAAGTAGCACACTTGCTGAAAAGAAGAAGATATTCATGACTCATGGAAAGATTTATTCTCTGTATTTTCCCTGTATAAATAAAGTGACATTTAGGCTAAAAATAAATCATTTCACCCTCATAGTAGAAACAATTCTCCATTGACTGGAAAATGGTACCAAAAAACAAGCTTTCTGTGTTTGTTAAAAAATATATTCCCAAGAAAAGAATTGCTTACCTGTTGGCAACAGGGCCCTTGAAATTTGGATCAAATGTCCTTGGATTACCTGCATTTAAAACAGAGAGCTTTTTGAGCATATAATCTGATAAATAGCAAATAAACACATATAAAATATTAATAAAGAAAAATCTACATCTTGGCTAGTCCATCACTCAGTACAGTGTTGAAGTCATTCTTTGGTCCAGTGAGACTTCAGTTATGCCTTGGTTACATCTATCACTCCTTCTCTCTCTCTCCAGTAGGAAGCAAGACTAAAAAGAGTTGTTAAAGACCATATTCTACACACCCTATAAACATATCCTCTCACTGTTCTGAGTAGCAACATTATAAAGTGCATATCGGGTCGCAAAACTTCAAGCCCTACTAGCCTGCAAAAACAATTTTACTATCTGCCATCACCAAGTATCGCTGGGCACTTGCGAAGTGCACAGTATGACAGAAATGCCTGCTTATCCCAGTTCTCCCTTTCCTTCAAGAAGTTGGAATATTAGTCACTGCTGATCTCCGTCATGTTGGCTATATGGAATATACAAATCATTATTATATTATATAAATGTCATTTTTGTGGATATTTTAAGATCTACTACCAGACTTCATGCCATCTGGAGAGAAGCCCTCGTCATTCATTGTTGCATCATGATTGCAATATACTGCCCTTGTCTCTTAACAGTACAAGGAACACATGGAACGGCTTTTTCTTCCTTACATGCACTGTATGGGCAGAGCTAATAATAAGTTCTGTAAAATCATTTCTGGACAAAGATCTGCATTTTGCAATCCCCAACCCTGTGACTCGTCCCCCTTAAGCTAAGCACTACCACCTCTTCTCCTGGGATTTTGCCCCTGTATGACGGCCTGGTATTGAATTAAGGACAGAATTTTAAAAAAAAAAAAACTGAGCAAAGCCTTCTGTGTGTCAGCAACCTACCTTTGCCTGTGCTCTATGGGGAAATTAAGCCAAGGACTCAGAGGCCTCTTCAATGTAATCATGGGTTGATGGTAGAACAACGGAAAGGGAAAGACAGACTTGTAACAGAAATCCAAAGCCAATTATTTAGCAAATATTCATAAATTGAATGCTGCGAGCCCTGAGGGGATAAATAATATCTCTATATAAGGCATGGTCCCTATCTTGGAGACCTTACAATTGATGTGATTGGGGTAAGATCCACATATTGGTCCATTCAACAAGTATTTCTTGAGATTCTTTATATGCCAAGCCCTGTGTTGTACCACATGAACAATGAATACACAGCTATTAATAAGGGTACTGAATTGTGTGATATTGGCCGTAGGTGTTGCAAGAGTTCTGAGAAAGCTGGTTTCATCAAGGAATAGAGCAGTCAACAGGGTTCGAGAAATGTGATTTTTTTTGTGTGAAAGGCTGGAATAAAACAAAAGGGAAAGAAGAAACATTCCAGGCAGGTGAAACTAGAACTGTTAAATTCAGTAACTATTTATTGATCACCTGTTATGTGCTCTGCATGGAAAGTGGCACTGCAGGGGATACAAGGTTTATATGTACTAAGTGCTTTTATGCTTTATTTTGTTTACTGAGTAAACACAGTTTCTATCTTCAACAAGCTAACAAACTGGTGAGCAGGGGGAGAAATAAGAAAAGTACACAAACCACTGTAATATAAGGCAGAATACGATATCATAAGGGTGGTACAAAGAAAGTGTTAGGAGAATTCTAAGGAAGAATAGGTCACATTCAGTTAAAATTAGTCAGGAAAGGTTCCTAGAGCCACAGTATTTTAAGATGGATAGGTCAAGTTTAGACCTGAAGAGATTAACGAAGTCACAGAGTTCGGAGTGAATATCACCTTTGTGGGGATGGTTAAAAGAACAACCTGATTGGAGTACTGGATAATGGGATAGCAGGAAGAAAAAATAAAGCTGGATAGCAGGGGTCAGACTACAGAAAGCCTAAAAAACCAGAGATAGAAGTTATTTTATACATCTGAGCCTCAGGGAGTCATAGAAGGATTCTGAACACAGGGACGACAAGGAAGAGCAATTTGGCAGCAATATGCACGTTGTATTACAAAGTCCAAAAGAGACCAGCTGAGACCAAGTAGGAGTCTACTGCAATAATTGAGGTGAAGTTATGTGAGCTACCGCCAAAGTGGTGATAGAAGTAATGGAAAGAGAGATTCAGGATTCATCACAGAGTGGTCGTGTGGCTTAGGGGTCAAGAGTAATAGCCCTAGAGTCAGACTGTCTGTTCTCTGTCGTTTACTATCAGAATAACCCAGACAGATCATTTCACATCTCTGAAAGTACTTAGAATGGTGGTTGGCATTTAGTAAACCTCCAATGTATGTTCATAATTAGCCGTGCAATTGCATGAAAAGATAAATGGTAAGACTCAGGGTATAAAAGAGAGAAGTCAAATATGGCTCCAAATCAAGGGACTACAGATCTAGAATTGTGATTCTCAGTCACTTCCCATCTTTTACCTTGGTTTAAGGAAAGATTGATGCTATTGGAACAGTTGGGAATGTTAATAGGTGGAAAAAATTATACAGCTGTTAGAAAAAAAAGAGCACGAGATTGATATTGCTCTTTTTGAGTTTGAAGTGACATCTACTTGAAAGTCTAGCATTCAACTGTAGTTAAGAAACTTCAGCCTTGGGTCAAGTCTTGAAATACGTATTTGGAAGTCATAAAGTTTATGTCATGAAAAATGATGAACTCCATAAAGAAGAACATCAGGATCTGTCAAGTACATAGAATGACATTATCATAATGACAATAACAATGATTTTTAATGTTTAACATGATTTTAGCATTAGATACTAAGCACTGTACTGTTTTTATGCATTATTTTGTTTATTTTGACACAATAACCTTATTATGTAGGTGTAATGAAAACTATTATAAGTCTCATTTTATATATATAAAAAACAAGGCGTGGAGAGGCTAAGGAACATGCCCATAGTCACACAGTTGATAAATGATCCACCTGAGATCCACGTTCTGCCCAGTCTCACTGCAGCAGAACAGATCCTGCCAGTCACATCCTGCGATGTCAACAATGATTCCTACTCAAAAGGAAAGTCTGTAAAATGTTTCCTGTTTCAGACAGTCTGTGTATACTTCAGTGGCAAGTTCTCTGACACATTGTCAACTGCTCTTTTTCTGATTGCTTGTCTGACTCTGCCTCCCCAAAATAAACATGTTACAGGGTGTTTAATCCCCCTTTCCCTGGGAGCTGACCTCCTCCTTCATCCTCAGGAGTGAGTCTCTAGCAGCCAAGTTTCTCCCATGTGCCTATTCCCTAGTTTAGACACGTGATCCAAGCTGGGCCAGTCCTTCCTGGCTACTCTATCCCAGGAATTTAGAATTAGAATGAACAGTGAGTTAGTCACTGCAAAATACAAAGTTTGAAGACCAGAGAAGAGAAAGTTCGTTTTCAGAAAGGAATTACTGAAGCAAATATACAAAAAGAAGCAACGATGGAAGAGCTGGTGGACTTTAGCTTCCTGTTCTGGTCCCTGAAGCCCAGAGTTGTTTTTCATGAGAGATTTTGTATAAAGGATACAAAGTCCCCTTCCTTGCTTTTTTTTGCTAGTGTACATCAGTTACTGGCAACCGAAGAGTCCCACTAATATACACACTTGCCTAGCTCGATTTTGATTTCAACAGCTCATTGTAACCACATTTATGACATTCTTTCAATAAACAGGTGGAGGAAATTCAGGCCAGAAGAGTTTGGCAGGAGATAGTGAAAGTGCTCAAAGAAAGGAATCTACAACCTAGAATACTTTTTCCAGCAAGGTTATCATTTAGAATTGAAGGAGAGGTAAAAGAGTTTCCCAGACAAACAAAAACTAAAGGAGTTCACTACCACTAAACCAGCCTTACAGGAAATATTAATAGGTCTTCTTTATGCAGAAAAGAAAAGATCATAACCAGAAATAAGAAAACAGAGGAAAGGAGGGGAAAAAATCTCATTGGTAAAGGCAAACATATAATAATCACAGTGAATCAACCACTTTAAAAGTTAATAGGAAGGTTAAAAGACAACAGCAGCAAAATTCACTATAACAATAATAAATAACCAAGAGATGTACAAAATGAAAAGATACAAAACATGACATCAAAAACATAAAGAGGGGAGGAAGGAGTAAAAATGTAGTGCTTTTAGATCCAGTTGAACTTAAATGCCTATAAGCTTAAAATAAACTGCTATAGATATAGGTGGATATATATGAACTTCATGATACCATAGACCAAACTATACAAAAAACACACAAATAAATAAATAAATAAATAAATTGATAGATAGATAGATAGATAGACAGACAGATAGATAGAAAGGAATTCAATCAAAACACTAAAAAAAGACAACAAAATATGAAAGATGAATATTTGAGATGAAGTCCGCTTTAACGAATCTCACATTTGAATAAGACATATAATTTCAATGTTATGTGGTAGCCATGTTAGAGACATGCAGAGGATGTCATGGGGTTCATGAATGGTTAGGGGTCTCCAGGTCCTGACTGACTTGACCCTAAACTTTGGCTCAACTTTCTACCAATCCTCCAGCCCCATGTGCTCTTTGACTTGGATCTTGTACGCTTAAGTGGAACACTAATGCTGGAATTCTTGCTGGTCCAGATTTCAATTCCCCAAACTGGCTCAACAGCTGAAATATTGCAAAAACTTTGGAGAGATACAAATTTCCAACCCTTCCACACCAAGGGTTGTGTATTTTAAAATACACTTTTTTTTTTTAAATGTGTATTTTAAAAAAGTCCCATTAGATAATTCTGCTGTACAATCAGACTTAGCACTAGGCTACTTGATTTATCCTGAATTTCACTTTTAACTTCTATCTCAGTTTATACATAGTCCTTAATTCTAGCTGTACATAATGGAGCAAATCTGATGGAATAAGAGAAAAGCAAATCATCATGATTTGTATGACCTTTGGGAAACACCACAAACAAGGATAAGAGGAAGAGAAACAGTTAAAGGAAGAGAAACAGAAAAAGTGACATTCAAGAAAGTCAAAGAATTTTAAGAAAGAAAAAAGGGTTACAAATTCCGCAAGGAAATAATTATTAAGTAAATGCTTATTTGTACCATGGACTGCGATAAGTGCTTTACACACGGATATGCCATTTTGCACAATTCCACATAGAACAATGTCAATTGTACCCCCCTTGAGCTATGTAATAAAATAGCAGTGCTATATTTGTTATGTCATATAATGCTCTCAATAATTCTGTGATTTCTATCATTATTCTCTTTTTGTTTTACAGATGAGAAAATTGAGGCACAAAAAGATAAGCAAATTTGCGCTAGCCCACTCAGCTAACAGGAGGTGGACGTGTGATTGGAAGGCAGACAGTCTGACTCCAACGCCTGTGTTGGGCCCCTTGGTAGTACCTTTCTCATTAGTGATCTTAGAGAAATTCCACAGATGAGTGAGGGGAGGAGATAGGTTGAAGGGGGTTAGAAATTTTCAAAGTATTTAGGCTGGCTTTCATTTGGGGTATGATTTGTACCTCACAAAGTGAAAAAGTGGATTGCAGTGTAAATGAAATGCTATTGTCAAATCTGTCTGAAAAGCTGACATATTTTTATTGTAAATCCTGGCTGCCTTATATTTCAGTTGAAAATACACTAAAACCACAGTCGGATGATAAGATTTAGCTGATTCCATATAGTAATGACAGCTGGAAAGTGATGACTTCAGCCTGCCCATGTGCCAGCAGAATTTGTATTGTCATGCAAATTTTTATTTCCTGAAATCAATACAGAGCATCACTTTTTCAGAGGCCTTCGTGTGCTCTAATTGCATCTCTAGAATAAACAGACTGCAGGGCCAGCTAAATAAAAAAAGCCACAATGCTTCACTGTCATCTAGCTTCGCTAGCTGAATACAATTCATATTTCTCACTTAAAGAAAAAGAAAAAAAATTAAGTAATCATATGAAAAGCTTTTTAAATTCACATGACTCTTTGATCGCCAAAATTATTAGGACAAAAAAATCACTAAAAATATTCATAACAGACAGTTACACATTTGTTATTATAGTTAACGGTTTGTATTGCACTCATACAATGTAATTCTTCTGACTAGAATAATTCACAAAGATTAAGAAAAATAGTCCAGGTAATTAATTCAATTCATGGGTGCAGATTTCATACGACTCTTTTGAATGCAAATGGCAAGATAAAGCAGCCAGTCATGCTTGAAAGACACTTTTCTTTAAAAGCAATCTGTTTCTCAAAGAAAATGACATTATAACTACCATTGATTAGTTATAAAAAGCAGAAATCTGGAACATTTAACTTATTCCTTCAGTATACTCTCCTTCAGAAAATCTAGTGTGATTTAGAGAGCAAAGGGGAACTAAAGTGGGTCAAACAAGTGTGTTAGGACTTAGAACTATTATGAGCAAGCAAGTCAGAAACTTTCCAATAAGCATGGAAAAATGGTATAGTACAAAATTAAGTCTTGCTTTAATATTCAACGAAAGCCAGTAGAGAATTGTGAAGAATTAAATACTTGTTTTAATTTATTTTTCAAACATGTTTATGGTTTTGTGTCTACAAATGAGGGCCTGCCACTTCACCCAAGGAAAGGGTTCCCCTTCTACCAAGTTTCAACAAAGGATAAGGAGCCATGTTCTTTGCCATTTCTTACAGGATAATGTTTCTACTTCTCAGCTCAGTAATATGGTCTTTCATGATCTGGCCTATCTTGTCTGCCTCATCTCCTACTATTCCTCATTTCAAACTTGGTCTTCTAGCAATTCTGTATTGCTCTGTTTCCCCTCCAAAATCAGATGTTTTGCATAGTGCCCTTTGAATAATATGACTTTCCCCTCTTTGTTCCCTTGGCAATGGCTAAAAGAAGTTTACAGTTCTTCTTTCAAATTCCCAGTTCATCCTTGAGGTAAGAATAAGGACCAAGACATTCTACCGGCCATTCTGCCAGTGGGTGGATCTGACCTGACTGGAGACTAATGTTGAGAACTTTCGTATAATCCATTCCACAGTAGCGAATTCCACCAGTCTTTGAGACATACATACTTCTATTATTTTCAATTGTTGTACTTAGTATACAGTACCACGAGGCCTTTTTACATGCTTTGATAGACAGACATCCACATACTAATCTCCCAAACTTGTGAATATTTTACCTTACACAGCAAAAGAGACTGCAGATGTGATTAGTTGAGAACCATGAGATGGGGAGATTATCCTGGATTATCTGGGTGAGACCAGTGTAATTACAAGAGTCCTTAAATGGAGATGAGAGAGATAGAATAGTTACAGAAGGAGAGGTAACAATGTAAACAAGATCAGAATGGTGCAATGTGAGAAAAACTCAACTGGCCACTGCTGGCTTTGAAGATGGAAGGGAGTCACGAGCCAAGCAATGTGGCTGTCTCTGGAAGTTGGAAAAAGAAACAACACGAATTCTCCTCTAGAGTCTCTAGAAGAGAATGTGGTCCTGCCAATTCCTTGATTTTAGCCCACTGAGACTTATTTTGGACTTCTGACCTCCAGAATTATAAAATAATAAATTTGTGTGGCTTTAAGCCACTGCATTTGTGGTAATTCATTATAGCTGCAAGAGGAAGCTAATACACATGACTACTTCTTCTATTGGATTAATAGCTCCTTTAGGGCAGAACTAGATCTTGGTTATCGTTCTATTGCTATTACCCACTTTGGTGCCTGATATAGGCACCAAAGATCTTGGTACCTAACCAAGACCTCTGATATATACATAACAGAGACTCGATAAATGTTAATAGAGTAAATCTAAAAAAAATGCTAATGTAATTTTGAAATCTCATAACTTTAATTTAGGCTATGAAAACACAAATAGATCAATCTTGACAATTACCAGCTAATCATTTTAGATAGATTTCAACTTGGATTTAAGGCAAGTTAATAGACTCTTAGAATTGTAGTGATGTGAAAATTACTCTCCTTATCACTAACACTAGTTCGGCATCTATTTGTAATGTTAAGATCAGTAGAAGAGAACAAAGGAAGTAAGGGAGCTAGTATCCCATACTGGTCAATTAAAATTGGGTACTACATTACTTGGTATCAAAAGTCATTTCTGCTATCTATGAGCTATATGATCTTGAGAGAATTACTTTTTTCTCTCTGAACTTCCATTTTGTTATCTATAAAATGATAGATAGTAGTATAGGGGTTCAAAATGAGTCACTCCAAGATGTGCCTCTGTGATATGTGGATCATTTTAAGCTAAAGGCAACCAAGATCTTCAGGCTCAAGAGAAACTTTTGCCTACCTTAACTACCTAGAAAAATAAGGGCCTTGCTCATAATAAGAGATTATCAGAGATAACTTTTTTGACCTATCTTATCTAGTAGGGCAAACTACTAATTATTGAACATCTGCTCTTTTTATTGTCCTGCAATTACCTTCCTTACCTTCCTTACCTTATCCTTAGCTCAGAATGTCTTATATACCTCATTTTAACTTTCAGCCCTTGAATCTCTCATGTAGGTGAAGTCACTGACTCTCTCCTGTATGTGGGGCTCTCAAAAGTATGTATGTAATTAAATTTCATTATATTTTTCTTGTCAATCTGACTCATCTAGATTTAATTATTGGAGCAGCCAAAAGAACTCGAAGGGTAGAGAAAAATTTCTTCCTCCCCCACAGTAGCAAAAACTAAAACTAAAATGAAAATGAAAAAAGGAGAAACAATTTCTACCTTCAGAGTGAACATGGGAAATAGCAAAGTATATGTAAATTACCCTCATAACCAAAGCATATCGGTGTAGAATCAATGCAACCCAACTTTAGTTGAATTGTCACATTGGTTATAAGTGACACAAATAATTCTAGAAAGGTTTCAATGACTAAGCTGTGTGTGACATTTGGGGGGGGGGGCGGGCATAGGACCACATCTTAATTATTTTTCTGTCCCACATAAACTCTAACAGTTCTTGGCAAATAACATAGACAGTTATTAAATGTTTATTGAATGAATGAATGATTAAAACACATTGACAGATATAATAAAGAGGAAACAAAGTTATATTTCTATTTCAACTCTCACAATAGTCTTCATATTGAAAAGTTCCAAAGTGAAAATGATAAATGATGATCAGACTCACAGTATGGGTATGACATTCTTGATCGAACAGACGGTGAATCTGAATTCTTTTTGGACAGAGAGATTTTGAGGATGCTTAAAGGAAAGAATGTGTCATGTGGGAAAGCTGGACTAAAGCACATGCTCAGCCATAGAAAAGACTATGCTTGGGGGAGGAGACATGAGAGCAGTTAGGGGAATGAAGCACATCATCAAGAGTTGGAGTAGGATTTACAAAGCCCCTCAAGTCCTCTGAGAAAGTAACACAATTGTCATGTGTCTATGTTTCTGCCTAATGTAGAGGAAATAGAAAATTTAAAGCTGAGGAATCAACAATAAGATTGCTAAATATTGTATTTCAGACATTAAATGGTAGGGGCCTTACTGGGTTTGTAGCAAGTAAGAGAGGATGAGGCAATTCCAGAAGCATTACAGAGAAATACATTCAGTGAGGAGTGAAAGAAAGGGCATGGTACTATGCTTTATCACCTAATAGCAGCAATGTCTCATGCAGAAAATGACGTACATTCCAGAAACTCATCTTGGGCAGAAACATGACCCCACATTGGACATGGCAAGATTAACAAAAATGCAAATGAGATTCCTTCAGCACTGATTCAAACCAAATAATACAGTGGTATGTTGACCTTATGATGGTTGTTTTTCTCCCAGTCTAACTTCCTAAACATATGGGATGCTAAATCACCCTGTGTTACATCAAGAATGCTAAATCTCCTACTTTAAGAATCTTTTTTCTAATCACAGCATTGGTTTCTGAATAGTTTGCATCATTATTTGAAACAATTCACCTTCTGTGAACACAAATCATTAACATTTAGTTAAAATGTCAACCTTAGAAGTAATAACCTAAAAGAAGCAACCTCCGCTTCCACTAAGCAGACAAAAGAAAACACACATCAGGCACTCAGGGTGCTTCTTAATAGACTGATTTTATAGGCAGCGCTGAAAGATACATTTAGGGGGCATTGAAAATGCGCTTCTAAAAGAATGATTTTTTTTGACTACTGCGACAAAACAGTGAATTTGTGCTATAGAACAGCCATGAATTATTGGATAATCACACATTTACTCAGAATAAATAAAATTCTGAATCAATATTGATTTAAAAAGAGAGTCTGGAAGCAAACAAGAACATGAATTGAGTTTGAAGGTTATCAGCTTGGGTTTTCAAATATTTCTTTCTAGCCATATTTGTATATTATTGCTCAACATGAGGCACTTAAAAAAAAAAAAAAAAGACCCATGACATACTCTAATTACATTGGAGCAACTCTTTATTTTCTTCCAGTTTCATAAGTTATGCATTTTATTATCATGCCAGTCCCTATTCCCTCACCTCCTAAAAAATATAAGAACAATTTCACAACAAAAGAAATGAAGAGCATATTTACTCACTCTAAATATAAAAATAAGTAACTCCATCTTGCCTTTCCATCTGCAGATTTCAGGCAGTAGCACAGTAAATGAATAAAGTTTGGAGAAATGATAGTTTTTATCATTACATATATATAAAAATTAACTTGTAATAAGGAGAAAATTGTCTTTAAAGTTATAGTTGAGGAAAAGAATTTTCATTGAACTTAAGAATAAATATTACTAAAGACAAACAGCAAGAATTTATCAAATTATCATAAGTGCATAAAGCAGTCTGGTAGCTAGTGATAACATCTCTCCTAGTTCCTCATATCACCCACAGGTTATTGATGAGAACAAAATTAAACTGCTTATCAACTCTGACTTTTGCCACAACTCAAGAAGATAAATGATAATAATCACTGGGGAAAAAAATCTCTATTTCTGGGCCTGAAATGTAGAAAAGAAAACATAATTTAGTGTATAATTTCTATATATGAGGCTTTAATCCAATAAATAAAAACTACAGGTGGAGTACTTCATTAGAATCTGTATTACTTGTATGGCCTTTCACCAGTGGGTCAGACTAGTCACTTAGAATGACAAATAGGACAATAGCAGACAGAAGGGATACACACAACCTACTGCATGACCCACTCTAAACTGTTATTGAGAGAGAGAGCGAGAGAGAGAGCGAGAGAGAGAGCGCGAAAGAGAGAAAGAACAGTAGAGAGAACAAGAGAGATTCTTTCTTCTTTTTTAGGGCTGGGGATGAGGGGTGGGGATGGAGTAGGCTCTTACTACAGAACAAGATAATTGCTTGGCTGGGATGCCTGGGGTTATCTCACTTCCTCTGGGAGTCCTGTCTCCTTGGATCAAGTCAAAGATAAAATAGCTTGTAAATTCTATGGAGCTAGCATATATGAGGGAGAAATGCTCATACATTTTTTTCCTCATTAAATGGATTTTTCACAAAGAGACTGAACATATTGTAAGCTCATTGTCAAAAGAAAATTTTATTTCTTTTATAGTCTGCATTGATTCAAAGAAGTGAGTAAAAGACTAGGGAAGGGAAATCTAGTGCTCAAGACAAGGGTTTGCCTCATGATCTTCCATGTGGCAGTAATATAAAACTGTGACGATAAATCTAAAAGTCTACCCGTTAACTCCAATTCCAAAAGTATGAAAGGTTCAACTCCCTTCCTCTCTCTCTATCTCTCTCTCTCTCCAAAAACAACAAAAAATTCTAGATAGAAAGCTTAAAGACCATCTTAAAAGCACTGAAAATCCAAGAATATCTTCAAGAAAAAGAATGAAATAAAAACAACTTCAGGCAAAACAAAACACAACAAAAACAAACAAACAAAAAACCCAGAGAGTTTGCCACCAGCAGGATCTTACTAAAATATATTACATATATACATATTTCTGAGAGAAGAAAAAGTGAGCCAGATGGAAGGTCTTTGATGAAGGAAGAAATGCAGAGTAAAGAACTATGGTGGGAAGAGGAGAATGATCACCAGGTATATAAAGCAATAATAACAAACTCTTGCGGGATTAAATAAAGCAAG